GGACCCTCAGTAGGTTGTAGAAGGCGATGCTCTAAGCTGGTGCCCTCTCCCCTCCCCTCCCCCCACCGGTGTCAGAAACCAAGGGCTTCTGGCGGCCATGGAGGAGCCATGAGCATGGCCCCAGGTTGTGCTCAGCCCGCCCTTCAGCAGGCAGGGCCAGATTGCTACAGAGATGACTCCTCTGGCTTAGAGATGGCAGTGAGCTTCCTGGCCCACAGCAACAGCTCTGAGAGCCTTAACCAGGACATGCAGGCAGACCTGGCTGAGGGGGACGCCCCCTCTCCTCCCTCCCCTGCCCACCCTCCTGGAGCTGTGTGACCCTCCCCGCAGCCTCCCCATGTGCCCACGCATCCGGCAGCCAGACTGTGCGGGGCAGCACTGTGCTTCCTCTGGGCTCCGGCCTGGGTGCAGGAGAGTTAGAGCAGAAATCTTCCAACAGTTTGTATTCCTGTGGGGTCTTTCCCCCAATTAACTCGTACATTTGTCTTTGTGACTTTAAACTCTTCTCAGGGGTCAGTTCATCTCCTAAACTATCTTGCCCCAGCAAACACACGCCAGTCCTATCCTGACTGCCCTGCTGCGGGTCTCAGCACCCCTGGAACTTCACAGGCCTCCACGGTGCACCCAGACCTCAGCACCAGGTCGCCTCACCGAGCCCAGCTCTGCCTCTCCAGACCTGTGTGACTGGGGGCCGGTTACTGGCCTGGACCTCAGTGTCTTCCACACTGTGCTGTGAGGGCTAAGTGCCTGCATGCGTGGGGACATCTATGTGTACAAATCTCAGGTCCTCGTTAGGACTGAATGCCTGGAATGGGTTGCTGCGTCCACGCGGAGACCACTGTGAGAGCTTCGTAGCCACTGTTTGTTCCTCGGTGGTATTCTTTGAGGCCCTCCTCTGAGCCAAGGATCCTTCTCGATGTTGGGCTTCCAGCTATGCACAGAGAGACAAAATCCCTGCGGTGGTAGAACTCATGTTTGGGCGGGGCAGATGACCGACATCAGAATGAGGAACTCGCAGCGGTATGTTGGAAGGTGATCTTAGCTATTGGAAAAACAGAGCTGGGTGGAAGGGGTCAGGGCAGCTGGAGTGAGGTGGTCAGGAAGGCCACGCTGGGAGGTGACATTTGCACAGCAATTAGAATGAGGTGGGCCTGGGAGCCAGTGGAACTGCTGGGGCCGATCTTCCAGCAGAGGAACCCGTGAATGCCAAGGCCCCGCGATGGGAATGCAGCTGGTGTGTTGGGGTGAAGGGAATGAACGGTTCGGGGACACATACAGGCCAGGTCACGTCCGAGCAGAGGCGTGCAGAAGTCAGAAGCCAGGAGCTCCAAACATGCTCCCCACGTTGGGGGCCATTCCAGGAGGGGCCACACATAGCTCCCAGACCTAAGTGCCTACGAGGGAGTGCTTCAAAGGGAGGTCCCTAAAAGAGGATGGTAGCTCTGTGAGAGCAGGATGGTCCTGCTTGCCCGTGTCCCTCAGCCTATAGGAAGTTGAAGGAGCCCTGAGGGATGCCAGGCAGGTAGACAGTTGGCATTTGGCCGCCTCCCTCCCCACTCTGAGCCCCCCGACAAGGTCTCTGGGACCCTCCCTGGTTTGGGTGCCTGAGGTGTGTGGCACACAGGGTGTGTTACATGGACATGGTAAGCTGGGGTCCCCTCGCAGCCCCACTGGCCTGCAGCCACACGTCCTCATTTGTCCTCAGGCATCATGCTCATTACCCTGCCAGTACTGGGGACTCAGACTCCCTCTGCCTGCAGACCCTTGCCCAGGATCTCCATGCAGCCAGTCCCTGTCACCCGCACCCACCCCAGTCCCCCATCCCCCCAAGCCCCCCCGCCCTGCCATTCAGAGCTCTTCCTCAGAAAAGTCAGCCCTGGGCCCATATGACCTGGCCACCCTCCCCTCCCAGTGACAAGGCACTTTTGCTTCCTTGACCACCTTGGTGGCTGTCTATCTTGCTGGCTTGTTTTCTCTCTGCCCCTTCTGAGACTTGTAAACTCCGCGGGGGCCAGGCCCTGGTCTGTGTGCTCACCACCCTTGTCTCCTGTCCTGGAGCGCTGTGTGAATGTTTCCCTGGGAAAGATGCAGGCCCAGGTTGGGGGAAGCTCGGTGAGGGCAGCAGCTCTGACCGCCCCATATCCCGACCTGCCCTTCGCTTCCCTCCATTGGCTGTCTGGCTAAGGGGGAGAAAGGCCAGCAGAAAACAGAGTGGCTCCTGGGGACATTTGCTCCAAATCCACAGTTGTGTCCAGGCCACCCCAAAATGGAGCAGAGGCAATGAGCCTGACCATCTCAGAAGAGCAGTTCGATGGCCACATCTTCACCAGTGCCAGAGAGATTTTCTGGGTCTGCCTGCTTTGGGCCATGTGAGGTATGCCCGGTGCGTAACGAGAGCCAGCGCGGGCGAGATGGACCGCCGATTGGGCCATGCCTGTCTCCCCAGCCCCGCGCAGACGCCGGGGAGCCCCACGCCTCTTCAGCCATCAGACCTCCTGGCACCAGAGGGAGACAGGCTGCCCGTGCCATTTGTCAGGGTCTGGTGCCAGCCACCTTCTCTGTTTGCAGAAGGAAGGCTGGGGCTCTGATCTGGGGAGGCAGATACCTGCAGGCCTGGCGCTAGCTTGGGGGCCTGGCCCGGGGCCATTCCCACGCCCCATTCCAGAGGTGCGCTATCCTGCTGGGTGTGGAGCCTGCGATCGGACACCGTGCTGCCCAGCCAGAGGACGGCTCCACTTGGTCCAGGTCCCGCAGGCCCCCAGCATCCCAGAGCTCCATCCACATCAGCCACGAGTCCCGGCCTTCCTGGGGGTGCAGGCTTTGAGAGACCAGCAGTCTCATCTTTGCCTGTAGAAGGGAGACCAAGTCCCCTTCCAGGAGGTAGAGCTACCCCTGGCTGACTCTCCAGTGTCCCTCAAGGCAGCCTCCTGGTCACCTTTCTAAACCTCCATGGTACCCTCACAGCAGGTAATCCCCTGCCAAAGGTGGACCCGCACTGAGTGATGGGCTGGGGAGCAGTGACCCGCATTGGCCAGCAGCTGCAAGCCCAGAGTTCAAATTCCTCACTGTGGGGCCTAGAGGCAGTCCGTGCCCTTCTGGGGGCTCTGTTTTTGCCTCTGTACGAAAAAGGGGTTGCTTCAGCAAACATGCATGAGTGCTTCGCCTAAACGGAATAATCCACATACCCCAGCCACCAAGAGCTCCCCACCTGGTGGGGACAGGGTAAGCAAAGGCACTGAAGCCTGACACCAGAGTACCACTTCTGGCTTCCTGGGGAGACCACAAACACCCGGCCAACACTGGGCCGAAGGACGAGGCCCTTCAGGCGCTGACAGACACAGATCAGGTGCAGCAGGGCACGCAGGGAAGGGAGCCCTCTGCCTGGTGCCCAGCCCCCGCTTCCCACCAGCTTTGGACTCAGCCTCTGGGTCCACTGGCCAAAACAGCCCCTCTGTGCATATTAGAAGGAAGTGGGGGGACGCAGGCCTGCCAGGACCCCTCTTGGCAAGCACAGTGTGGGCTGGGCTCCACCTCACTTGCCCCTTGCCAGGAATGAAGGCTGTGTACCCAGCTCTCCCAGTAGTCGCTCCTGGAGCCACCGCCCCCTGGGCCTCTTTGCCCCATGCCAGTCTCACAGCGCCCCCTCCGCTCACCCCCACCACAGCCCTGCCAACTTGCTCCCACCGGCTTCCCTCAGCAGGGTTGTGAGCAGCCAGCTCCAGAGCGCTCTGCTTTTACAAAGCTGGTCTGAGGCCTTGGCCACAGCCTTGGAGCCAGAGCCTCTCTGCCTGTGCTCAAAGCAGCCGACTCTCACCCTGGCCAGCAGCCCACAAAGACGCTGGGCCATGCTGCTACCAAGCAGTTTCCTCAAAAAGACAAGCCCCAGAGAAAGCCTAGTGTTCCAGGAGTGCAGCCAGGTGCGCAGAGATGAGCGAGCCTTCTTCCGTCGCCAAGGTGGGGAACCGCGTTCCAGGCAGAGGGAACAGCCTGTGCAGAGGCTCGTAAGCCTGACTGCAGGGAGCCCAGGAATGGTCACGTGTTCCTTGGGGCGGCAGGGAATGCACAAAAGCAATGGGTGAAGCGGCTAGAAGAGCTGGGGCTGGCTTTAGGGTGTTAGCAGGGGTCTGATTTCCACTCCGTCATTTGGCTGAAGAGAATGAACATAAAGTCTGTATACTGTACATAGTGGAGGGAGTGACGAGAGGGTGCTGGTTTAAAGGAGCCTGTAAAATGTGATGGAAACCGGTGGGGGCTGCTCCCACCCCTGCGTGGAGAGACAGTGTATGCGAAAGCCCAGGGAGAAGGCTCCCCAGCAGGAGTGCCGGCTTTAGGGAACAGGAATCAACACCCCAGCTGCTCTCTCCTCCCACCCTCTGATCTGTTGGGACTCCCACTGGCTGAACCTAACCTGCAGCCAGAGGGCACAGGAGCCTATATGCTGTCTGCAGAGGTCCGCCTCCCAGGCACACAGAGGAGCAGAGAATGGATCTCCAGGGACAGTTGGAGAACACCTAGCCCAGGGAAACTCAAAAGTCAGTTTCAGTGTACGTGTTTTAGCGTGAGTGTCCTGGGAAACAGTAGGACCATTTAGAGCAGGAGAAGGACGTGGCCAGTAAGTGTGAGGCTAATCCGCATAGAGCCTGAGTGCAGAGTGGGTGGGTGGGCAGGGGACTGGGACACGGAGGTGGGGAGCCCTGCTGAGCTCCAAGCTGGACAGGCCCCTGACGTGGACCAGCATGGTGGGGGAGGGGCTGGAATGTGGGATTTAGGTGGCAGAGTGGACCCTAGGACTTGGGGGTCCATTGGCTGGGCAAAGAGGCAGAAGGGAGTGAGCCCAGAGTGGCACCGGGGTCCTGGCCTGGCCTAGGAGAGAGTGAGGGTATCACTGAGTTGGGGGAAGGAGATTTGAAGATGTGCCAGCATGAGCGGGTGCCCATCTAGGGCAGAGAGCAGCAGGTTGGGAGTGGCAGAGTAACGGGCTCTCTTTCCGTGCCTTGCAGGTGGCCTCAGCCCGGAGTCCAAGAAGATGCTGACGCCCACCCTCAAGAAGCGGGGCCGAGCTGGCCGAGGAGAAGCAGCCAAGCCGGAGGAGGGGGCCGAGCGGCCCGAGCCTGCACAGCACGTGGCTGTCAGCCTGTCTTTCAAGCGCTATGTCTTCGACACTCACAAGCGCATGGTCCAGTCTCCCTGAATGTTCCTGTGACCTTGCCCAGGCCCCCAGGCTGGGCTGCAGTGCCAAGCATCAGACCAGATGTGCCTTGCCCTCCTTTCGTGTATCCCTCCCCATGACACTGCAGATGCGGGCCCTGGGCCTGCACTATGCCCCAGTGAGAAGCCTGGGGAGTGAGGCAGCAGCGGCTTCAGGGCCGAGGCTCAGAGGGTCTGTCCTGGTGCCCTCCGAGCTGCTGGGGGCCAGCGTTTCCCAGGTCGCCCCGCAGGCAGCCGTGGGAGGGCTAATCCACACCCTGCCGTAGATGGCCTGGCACTTGCCGGCTACAAATAAATGCCCCAGGGCGTCTGCCCGCTCTGTTGGTCTCTGTGATTTCACCTGGAAGGGCCCCCCATGCCCGTTCCTGAGGGGGAATATCAAGGGAGTTAAGCAGTTTCCCACCCAGAGAAGAGCTGGAGGAACCAGAACTCAAAGCCCAGCGGGAGTGGGCTGAGGAGTTCACAGGGTGTCAGGCCCCTAGGCCAGGCTGGGTGGCCCCGGGGGTGTCTCCTGGGCCTTAAGGGACACGGGGGTTCTCTGGACCGCCAAGTCCGGAAAGGGCTCTGCCGGGAAGGGCCCCCGTGGAGTGCTGGGGAGCCACGAGTTATCGGGCGAGGGCATCAGGTCAGAGGCTGGCTGGAGGGATTGCTCCCCCATCCAGCAGGCATAGAGGGAACTAATTCTGGGGGCAGATCCACAGTGGGGGGGGTGGTAGATGGGGGCGCTCAGCCATTGCCTGGTTCATTCTGGCTCCTCTGCTTGTGTGATCTTGGCCCAGTCCCCTGACCTCTGTGCCTCGGCACCCCCACGTATAAAATGGCTACAGAAGCAGCTGCTTCATGGGGTCGTTCGGGTACTGGGTGCCCTGCTGCCTGCTGCACTACCCACAGCCCTGGCAGTAGGACCAGCACGCAAGGCCTCACTGCTGGGAGGAGAGGGGCCCATGAACTCCTCGTAGTGGGGCAGGCAGCCCCAGGGCCCAGCTCTGCTCTGAACTGGCCATTTTTCTAGGACCTCTGTCACAGTGCCCACGCCCACCCACACCTTTCTCCCTGCCTCCCACATGTCCCGCAGACAGCACCCCTCAACACCCAGGGGAGGAGGCTGACTCAAGTGGAGGACACAGAGACACAGAGAAGAGGAGGAGCTGGCCAGTGTGACTCCTAGAAGCCTTGGACACCCCCCACCCCCACCAGAGAGTGCGGGCCGGCAGCCTGCTCAGGGAGAGGCCTCTCTCAGGCCTGGCATCAGAAGAAACCCGAGTGCCCGGGTTGGGCCAGGACACAGCCTTTGAAGGAGAAGCGCAGCCAGGGTGGGTGGGCAGGGGCAGGGGCCAGCAGTGTCCAGGGGCATTCCCACAGCCGTGTCCCCCTGCCCCTGGCTCCCCAGCCAGCTCTATGTGCTGTAGAAGAGAGGGCAAGCCCCCTACAGCCTTTCGCAAACACATCAACTCGCTAAATTGGCGCTTCTACCCATAGGGGTGTCTGGGAAACATCACCTTAGTTGTAGGTGTTGAGGGTGGCGGGGACTGGGGCTCAGCTGACCGTAGCCTCAGGTAGAGCTAGGACTCAAATCCAGGCTCTGGAGGATTCCAGACATCCCCACGCCCCTTGCCTCAAGGCCTTGGGTGTATCCTTGGAAAAAGGCGCCTTCTGGGGCCCTGCTTTGGGCAGAGAGATGGGGGGGCAAGGGGCAGTGCCCCCCCCCCGCTCCCCCCCCCACCTGCCCATACAGAATGAAGTCATGGGTAGGCGTCCTGCCACGGGCTGGGGCAGGAGGGGTGGCCGTGATTGGCAGGCCCCCAGACCAGCAAGGCTAATGCACCAGCAATGAGATAAGGCTTATCTGGAAATGTCCCTGGAATCGAGACTCTGATGGAAACAGGCTTCTGGGTTAATATATTTTTGATAGATAAAGTCTCGTAAACGGGAAGCCCTGGGGGCCCAGGGCAGGAGAAGGGGCAGCTTCTGTTCTCCCAGGCCTCCTGCCCTGCCCGTGCATATGTGCGTGTGTGTTTGGGCATGGGTCTGTGTTCTGGGCGTCTGTGGCTGTCAACAGCCGGGTGTGTGGGTCTTAGTGTCTTGGGTGTGTGCATATGTCCTCATGTGCTCAGGGAAGGCAGTCTGTCAGGCTGTGGCTCTCTGGTGTGTCTGTGCGAGAGTGGGGTGAAGAAGAGGGTATCGGGAACAGTGTGCACAGGGTGGTGACGTGTGTGGGGGGCCAGTTTGTCCCTTGGGTCCCAGGGGCCTGCAGGTCGGTAGGGCCTGGTTCCCGGAACCTGGTGGGATGGGAAGGGGGAGCATGGCCCCCATTCTGGGGACCCAGAGCCCCCCTCAGGTTGAGCCAGGACCTCTCAGTGCCAACTCACCCTCAGGATTGATCCAGGCCTCGGGCCTTCCCCACCTCCTCTGCCTTTAGCTGGGCTTTAGCCTTTCCAGCTCCCCTTCAGGAGACCAAGGCCAATACTGCTCACAGCTTCTCTGCTCCTAGGTTAGCCATGTCTGTTCTCCATAGCCTTGACAAGTGAGACGAGGCCTCTCGGTGAGGGACCACTGGGACAAGGCCTTGAAGAGAGAGTAGGAGTTTGCCAGGAGGAGAGGTGCCATCCAGCAGAGGGCACAAAAGGTGTAAGGCCTCAAGGAGAGCACTGCAACAGGCCTGCATGAGGAGGGATGAGGTCATGGCTCCCAGGCTCCCCCCAGCGCGTGCCGGGCCTCCAGAAGCCTCCACACAGGCAGCCCTGATTAAAAAGAGTAATTAGCGCTCAGCTGATAACAGAGTGGTACCATTAATTAGCGGAGCTCAGCCAGCAGTGGCGCTTGATTGCAGGGAGGCAGCAGCCAGCAGCTCGAGGACGGTGGGGGGTGCGTTGTGTTCCCTCAGGGAGAAGCTGACCCCAACCCCGGGCTCCTCTGTCTGTCCCAGCCCCATTCCCTTGCTGAGAGCCAGCGGTGTGGGCAGAGAGTAAAGACGGCAGCTGGGTGGGGCCGGAGGCCTCAAAGGCTGCTCCAGTCGTCTTGAAGGGTGTAAGGTCAAGTGCATCAGATCGGAATTTCAAGAGACCTCTCTGGCCCCAACTCCATGCCAGTTCTGAATGGCCAAGGCCTGAGGTCAGGACCCCCTCACCCAAGAGGCACAGAGACCACAGGGGTGGAGGAGGGCTCCCAGGATTGGTTTTGGTGGTCAGTTGGCCAAGGAGCAGGGGAGGGGTGAGGCTGATCCCTGGGAGGAGGAAAAGGGCTTGGAAAGTTTTGGGGATTCAGTGTAGGTGGATGGAAACTGGAAGCAGGGATAGTTTTGGAAAGAGGCCCGAAGGTGGTTCTTCCGCATTTATTAAGCACCTCCTGTGTGCTGGGCCCTGGGGTCACAGCCCGCTGCTCCCTGGATGCGGTGGGGTGGGGGCAACCTGGAGGGCTGTGACCCCTGCCCTCACCGTACTCCCATGTGCGGCTCAGCCATCAGGCGGGACAGGCTGCCCTGCGCCCCACCCCTACCTGGGCCAGCAGGTCAGAGGTCAGGCGTCCCAGAGCCTCCCCGTGTGCCCCACCACGAGGTATTGCTCAGTCCCCTCCCCACGCCCTCCCATGTTATCACCATCACTGGGGCTGGTGGGGAGACAGCACAGCAGAGAGAAACGGCCACTTCCCGTGACCACAGCTGGGCCTCTAGATAAAGGCCAGCTGGGAGCCCAGACAGACCTGGGGAGGCTGGGTAAGGGGCCAGGTTCAGCCACCTGCCTGGCCCCTCAAGGGACATCGCAGAGACTCGGCCCTGAGCCTCCAGGCTTCCAGCACCATCCCAACCAGACAGGGCTAACTGCCCCCCTGTTCTGTGGGGGCCAAGCCTCTGCTCCCCTGACCTGCACAGCCCTACTCCCTCCCCACTTGGGCCCTGTCAGCTTTCCTGGGCCCACTGAGCCCCACCGAGCTAAGGAAGGTGGCCGGGCCATTTGGGTTGGTGAAGGCCGATGGCCTCCCCGCCGGTCTCCCTTTGCTCCCTCCAGCACCGCCTCTGTCTCCCCGGGTGTCCACATCCCTCTCCCTCCAGCCCAGTGTACTTTGTACTTTTCTCACCTGCCACACCCTGAGGCCGGGGCTGGGCCCTGAGCCGTGGGTAGCCTGCTGAGGTGGGTGCAGGTGGGAGGGGCAGGCTGGGAAGCGCAGCTCGGTGGACCGGTCCCTGTAAAGGGCACCGGGAGTTCAGGTCACCCTCTCCTCGAATCCTTTCTCCCTGCCTTGTCCACCTCAGTGTCTGCCCCCAAGCTGTGACCTCATTCTCCTCCCCGCCTCACCCTTCAGCCTCTGCGGTCCCCCTCACCCCACCCCACCTCTCAAGTTCCCTCCAAGGCTGAGAGGGCCCTGAGGGGCTCCTTTCTTGGAAACAGAAAGGCAGGTGGGGGTCAAGCCAGGTGGGGTGCAGGAGCCAGGCCTCTCCCCGGTGCTCCAGGGGGAGGCCTCGGAAACCCAGAGTTCCCAAGGGTTCCAGAGCCAGAGTCTAGGCTAGGCCACAGAAGCCAGACCTGACCCATCCTGTGTCCTCCCAGTTCACTACCCAAGCAGGACCTCCCATACCAGTTCCTTATGCTGCCCCTAGACTGTCACTGTATGACTACTAACCTCACCCCCACCCAAGATCACCACCCCTCACCTCCTCCACCAGCATCACAAGGGACCAGCTCAGATCCATGTGGGGGAGACCTACATCCAGGGGGAGGACGCATGAGGTCACTGGCCAGGAAGGGGAGCCATACGAGGCCAGGGGAGGGAAGGCGGAGGCAGGTTAGGGATGATCAGGAGATCAAGCTCTCCGCTGGCCCTGGCACTGTTTGGCTGCAGGAGGGAGCCGGGAGGGAGAGGACCGAGGGTGCCTGGGCAGCCTCTGAGGGGTCACTGAGCCCACTGTGGGCCAACCAAGCAGGGGGACTGGGTTTGAGTGAGTCCCCTTGATGAGCTTGGTGTGGACCCCTGAGTCTGCCCTCCACAGCCCTTGCAGGGGTGGGGGGTGCATCAAAGGCTCAGGCAGTGGCAGGGGAGCCCAGAAAGAAGGCAGAGAAGCAGCTGGAGAGGGAGAAGGAAAGGCAGGTGGGGGTCAGCCGGGGAGGGGCTGCAGGCAGGGTCCCACCGGAAGCGGACCAGAAACCCCGGGGTGGGGGGGAAACAGGTGGGCGTGGGCTTGAGGCAGGACTGTTGCACAATGAATGTGCTGTGAGATGAAGCAATTCGGTCCCTCATCAGATGTGGGGCCGGATGATGGGGCAGGTGATAGCCCTCAATCATCCGCATCTCTCTAGTTCTCGGTATTCAGCAGGGCGGAGGG